AGGTAGCTGGGGAATATGATTTCTGGCTGTGTCTGTGCAGGTGTTTGGGGGCGAGGTTAGCATTTGAATTGTGGGGATCCTAAAGCAGTTGATCCTCCCCAGTGTGGGGGGATATCTTCCAATCCACTGAGGCCCTGAATAGAACAAAAGGCTGAGAAAGTGAATTAGCCCCTTCTCAGCTTGAGCTCTCTCCTGTCCTCAGACTGAAATGACTCTAGTGGCTCCCCTGGTTCTCCAGCCCCTAATGCAGATGTAAGTCTGTCTCTGGCCCTCCTCCAGCTGCAGCTTGCAGATGGAATAACATAGGGCTTCTTAGCCTCCAGAGTCACATGAACCAACAGCTCCTAAAAAAATCTTTCTAATAAATGTATCAATAGGACATATATATTAGGATGTATATATAACTCTATCAATAGGGTGTGTGTGTGTGTGTGTGTACAATAGGGTATATATGTTAGGCTATGTAATAGGACATACAGTCAATGTACTTATCAAAATAATAAATATTCAATATTTATAACTTACACATGCGTCTCAGTGAGATACATATCATTGGTTTTGTGTCTTGGAGAACCCTAAGTAATACAGTCAAACTAAGTAATTTCAGGAATTGAGTTCTGGAGGGGGCACATTTTTCGAGCAAAGTTTGGGGTGATCTCTGTTCTATTAGGTATTTCAGAAGCTCCTATAACGCAAGAGCTCCTGGGATCTTAGCAAATAGCCCCTCTGAAGTGGTTCATCAGCCCCTGTCCCCCCATTGCCTCTGGAGTGTCTCTCCCAGTGTGACAGCCTTGGCATCACTCTGCACTCTCTTCAAAGGCTGCTCAAGACTTCCCCACACTGCATGCTGCTCTGGATGAGGAGACACTATGCATCTTGACATGTGGTCCTTTCAGACAGTGTCCAGAGGTAAGGCTTGGGCGGGTGGCACTTTCCGTCCTTTTGTTTTCCTAGAGGGCTTTGATATATTGCTATCAAAGTTCTTTGATTCAGTGGCAATTGGCTGTTGGCATAGTCACTTCTGTCACCTTCTGTTACCTGTTGCCTGATGGGACATCAACGCAATTCTCCCTACACCCATCTCTCCACTCTTTAACCTCTTCCTTTTCTCAAAAACACATTTTGGTACCAAGCTGAATCATTTCTAGTGAATTATCCCATCAGAAACTGCTCTGGCTGTGTGAAGATGAACACCGTTGTGGACAGGCAGGACTTGGCTCTGGGACGGCCACAGGCAGACCCACAACCGGGCTGCTGCTGAGCTCTGAGTGCCCAGTAGACAACATGCTTTTGGCACTCAGCCCATTTGTCATTGAAAACTGGAATGTTTTTTCACTATAGAATGGGGACAAAGATGACCTCCTTGTCCATTGGTCTGACACACATTGGTGATCATTGTGAAGCTCCACTATCTACAATGCTGGGCCATCTTATACAGTAGGCACAAGCCACATGTGGCTATTCAGATTTAAATTTAATAAAATTAAAACTTCATCTTGGTCTATACCCAAAGGACTTAAAAACAGCATACTACAGGGACACAGACACATCAATGTTTATAGCAGCACAATTCACAATAGCTAAACCTTGGAGCCAACCTAGATGCCCTTCAATAGATGAATGGATAAAAAAAATGTGGCATATATACCAAGTGGAATATTATTCAGCAATAAAAGAGAATAAAATCATGGAATTTGCAGGTAAATGGATGGAGTTAGAGAAGATAATGCTAACAGAAGTTAGTCAATCCCAAAAAACCAAATGCCAAATGTTTTCTCTAATATAAGGAGACTGATTCATAGTGGGTAGGGAGGGGAAGCATGGGAGGAATAGACAAACTCTAGATAGGGCAGAGGGGTGGGAGGAGAAGGGAGGGGGTATGGGGTTAGAAATGATGATGGAATGTGATGGACATCATTATCCAAAGTACATGAATGAAGACATGAATTGGTGTGAATATACTTTGTATACAACCAGAGATATGAAAAACCGTGCTCTATATGTGTAATAAGAATTGTAATTCATTCTTCAGTTGTATATAAATTTTTAAAATTTAAAAATAAATAAACAAATAATAATGCTTCAGACTAAAAAATAGAATAAAATAAAATAAAACTTCAGTCCCTCAGTATCATCAGCCACATTTTAAGTGCTCAAAAGCCACATGTGACTAATAGCTATAGCATTGGATAGCACAGAAAGAACGTCTCCAGCATCACGGAAGGGTCCCTGGGACAATGCTGATCGATTTAGTGAGGGTGATATCATCTACTTCACAGGACTGTGAGGAGAATTAAATGAAAACTGTACAAAAAGTGCAAATAAAACTAACACATGCATGCTCTCGATAAACGGATTTATTATTGCTATCCATGATATAAAATTTCTCCTAAAAGGGAGCTACTCTAAGTATTCCATTTAATTCAGGGGAATGTGGCAAGACACCCCAGATGTAAGTATGATTCTTAGTATTATTTCTTGCTGAGAGCGGGGGGTTACAGGAAGCACTGAGACTGATGAGTTGTTGAGTCCCTTCACTACAAGGTCACAGGCTTTTTATGAAGCTGAGTGGGGCTGTGGGGAGGGGTTGGAAATTCTTTAAAGGAAAACAAAACAAAATAGGTGGAGAAGGAGCATCTTCTTAAACCAAAATTTGATCAGCAAAATGGATTCGGCAGAGGAAGGGAAAGTAGGAAAAGGGAAAGAGGGAGAGAGGGCCATTAAGGGCAGCATCAGGTCAGGAATCTTTGTTTAAATCCTGGGTCCTTCCCTCCCTAACCGTGTCACCTTGGTGAGTCACATCACCTCTCTGAACCTCAGTTTCCTTTTCCATAAAATTAGAAAACAAAGGACACAAAGATTTTATGGAAAGTCCTGTACAATGTTAGGTATTGTCGATTCTGAAAAGGGACACATAGAAATGTGATATTTAAAAAGAAACATTGAAGTGAAGAATGACCTCCAGTAGAATTCAGGAAAGCTGTTGGACAAGGAGAGTAAGGGGAAAAACACAATGGCCCCTAGCTGCCTCTATTTTAGGCTCCTGGTACGATTCTGTATGAATGGTTTCATGTCTATTGGCCTCAGTTTCTCCTTGCTTCTAAAATGCATCACAGATTGAGGCATGGCTGGAATTAGATAGTAAGAAAAAGTCAACCCTTTCTAAATAGAAATGTTATAAATTCCTCAACACTATAAATATGTCTCACATCTATTGCTCAACACCTGTAAGAGTGAGAAAAAAAACCTACTGCTTCTAAAACAATCTCAGTGTTTGAAATAAATTAACAAAGAATGACCCTTCAAAACTTTTTCTTCTTCTTCCTTTACTTCAGTATGGGGCACTGAACCCAAGTGTGCTTTACATTGAGCAACACCCCCAGCTCTTTATCTATCTATTTATTTATCTATTTATTATTTACTCACTATTTATTTAGAGACAGAGTCTCACAAGTTACCCAAGCTGGCCTTGAACTTATGATCTTCCTGCCTCAGCCTCCCAGGTAACTGGGACTCCAGGTGTGCACCACCAGGTTTTGCTCAGAATTAAAAAAAAAAAAATACAGTTCACTTGCCTCAGTTCTGCACAGGTAAAGGCCAGAAGAAATCATTGGTGTGGACTTACTGCCCTTGGCTGCTGCGATGGACCCTGGAAGGCTGAAACACCTTCATTTTCCTTTGAGCACCATCCTATGATTCACCTGATCTCCATGAACCCTTGCCCCCTAACCCCATACAAATCTGTCCTCATGTAAGCAAGAGGTGTCGTCTCCAGAGCTGGAGGATTTGACTTGTCCTTCTCATGGGCAGAAGTGAGTTAACTATCTACACACCAGACAGATACTTTTGGGGTTGCACAGCCTCTCATTGGGCATCTTCAGAAAAATGCCCTCGTTGGGCATCATTAGGACTCTCACTGGGCATCTCATTGGGCATCATCAGAACTCTCACTGGGCATCTCATTGGGCATCATCAGAAAATACCTGAACCAACTGTGTTAGATGTGCTCAGTAGAGAGCTTGGCATTTCATCTGTGCTCAGTGTGTCTTTATAGTCTCTCTGCTTCCCTATTAGAATTTACTCAAAAGGAATATGTCTTGTCAGTCATTTATACTGACCATCATTCACCTACTAGATTTTATACTATTTTTTTTTCTTATTAAAGGTTCTACTGGAGCTTTTGGAAACATGAACAGGAGGTTGGAGTCTCAGGATCCTCAAAGTGTTTCTTACCTGTCCCTTTCTCATCAGTAGTAGTCCTCATGAGATTATGAGAAGTTTGAATCTGCTGAGAAATTCCCTGTGGAGCTTCATGCTCTAAAACTACGATTACTCTAGAAAAACTAGTGGGGCTCACCCTGCTGCAAGGTGGAGTTAGAGGCCATCTACTGAAGTGGGGGAGTCAGGGTAGCTCGAATGCTGCCTTGAAATATCTCCCTAATTTTACAGTGGAAGTCTGAAATTCTTTTATAGGCAATCAACCCTTTACAAGATTGAGAATGTGAATATAAAAGAGGCCAGGCAATTATTCAAATTCATCCCATAGTATAAATGACCAGCATGATATATCCCCTTTGAGTGCATCCTAATAGGGACAGAAAAAAGAATATAAAGACACTGACATCCAAAGAGAATAAAGGGTGACAGACTGATAGATGGGCTCGATTATGGAGGAGGGAGAGACCCTAAAGACCAACTACCACAGTCCTCATACCAATGGCTTTTCATTTTCCCATGCCAGAGCTGAGGCGTTTTAATCCAGTGGTATACTCAGGGTTAGAACTGGGTTAGAACCGAAGATCTGGGCTCTGGCTCCTGGCACGGGATCTTCCCTTCCCACTGAGAGGACACAACACTGTAGCAGAGGGTCCCAATGTATTTCATTCTCCTTCCAGTTTGGTTTGGACCACCTATGACAATGGCTCCTTTCACTGGGAGGTGCCATGACAGGCAGCTCCGAGGGCCGCAGAGCTGCGTGTGTTCTCGGGGTATGGACTCACCCATGGCCGCTTCCACTCCAGGAAGGAAAGATTTTTTCCCTGGAGCAGCTTCTGTCCTATGGAAGAAGCCTCAGCTGGAAACGTCTCATCCTCAAATGGCAGGCGCCTGCGTAGGCAACGATCCCGCAAGGAGTGGAAGTCCTGATCATTGAACTTGATGACAGAGGTCTCTGACAGAGGCTCTGGGTTATGTGCCATGACTCGCCTTAGAAGACTTCTGAGGTCCTTTCTTTCTGGTGAGAAAAAGGAATGTTTTTAGGGGTGAGATGCCCAGGCCTTGCATCATCAGATGTGAGTCCCAGAAGGGCACTCTTATCTCCCCACATTTATGCTGTGCCTGGTGGCATAACCAGTGGATGGGTGAGCCTCAACTGAAGTTCAGTATCCTTATTTCCAGTTCAGCATTCAACTCGCTGTACCAAGCAGCCTCTCAGTGTGCTGACAAGTGCATGAAAGGCTATGGGGGTTATTTGTACATTTAATGAGCATTTATTGAGCACTGACCTTGGGCCAGGCATTCTTCTGAATGCTGGAAATCCAGAGAGAACCACATCATGATCTTTATAATTTCAGGGCTCATTATCAAGTGGAAAAGATGGATTAGACATTTCAGCAGCCAGCTATCATTTGATAGAAGCTGTCAATTAAAAATGTGTACAAGAACTTGTGGACCTAAAGAGGAGGAGCTAGCAGCTGTCGTAGACAGTCTGGGATTATTCCCACATGATATTCCCACATGACTCTCCTACAGAGAGTGAATCGTGCCTTTAAGGAAGAAGGATCTGCCAAGTGGAGAATGGATAGGTAAACTATTTTCTTAGAAAGTACCTGCAGGTGCCCTGGGTAGCAAGGGCTTGAAGGCCCAAGAGCTGTGTTGGCAGGCCATGGGGTGTGGAGGGTTCAGGGAGCCATTGGGGGATTGGTGGGTTTAGGGAGCATTGGTGGGTTTAGGGAGCATTGGGTTTAGGGAGCATTGGAAGAGATGGCCAGAAAGGCAGGTTGGAAAGCTGGATTGAGATGTTTTTATACCCTTCAGGTACTGCAGGCCCACTGAAGACTGGAGACCTGATCAGATCTGTAGATAGGATGGTGCTGCAGGGAACAGGTGGAGCCTGGAAGCAGGGATGAGGCTAGGAGGCTGCTGCCTCTGTCCCTGTGAGACCCTGATGGAGCATTAGTGGTGAAGAAGGTGGAGGCGAGCCAGATTCCAGTGTCATTTCATAGGTAGAGCCAATAGGATTTGAGATTGAATCAAATATGGGAGGTGAGTGGGGAGAAGAAAAGGCAGTGCACCATGGGTTTTGAAGTTTGCTCTCTGCTCTCACCTCTTACTGTTTCTATTATCCTGAGCTGGTATTCAAGTTTGTGGACCCATGTCTCTATCTGTATGGAATGACTCTACCAACCGCATTGGGTTCATTGTGGAATTAACTCAGATTTGACCTAATAGATCAACCTGAGTGACTGTCATACTGTAGGCATTCAATAAATGCTGGTGTCCAGTTTCCCTAAAGAGATTTCAAGGATGGGTGAGGTTTCTCATTCAGATAGCCACAGGGAGGCAATTATTGCTGTTTTCCAAAATATGCATCATATCCTCAATCATGAGATTAGCCTCGATTTGAATCCCAAATCTACCTTATTAATGATGGCTTCTCAGGCCTCAAAGGAGTGTTTTGGAAGCTTGTTTGAGTGGCACAAAAAACCCTGAGGACCAAGTGTCCCACTGATTACTGAATCTCAGTGGAAAAAAAAAAGTCAAATGATAAAGAAGAAAGAACATAAATAACTTACAAAGAAAGAGCATGAGTTTGCAATCAAGATTTTGAATCTTAGAAAAACACATGCAAACTTGAAATAACTTCACAATTATCTTGCAGTTCTCTTATAATGGTATGTGGCAAATTCTGTAGATAGCAGATTCATAGGCAGAATATCACCGATTAAGTGTCATTATACAAGTGTATTTGGAGGGAATAGTACATACAATTGTCTTCCAAAAAGGATGTGAATAATTTTCATTTGAACTGTGCAAAACTGGCATTTTTATTGATCCAAAATAGTTGAATAGAGTTGTATTCATGTGGTATAGGCTAAGGTAAATAGTGGTTAAATACAGGCAGTTTCATTTGATCTTACTTAATGTGATAGATGAATTTCTTCAATCTTATCTTTGGAAAATAACAGACCAAAATATTCAATATGTCCCACCACTCGCAATGGAGTTACATGGAGAGCCCACAACAAATTAAATAAATAGTGATGAAGCTAAAATAATGGCAAGCTATCATTCAAGAGCAAGAAAATAGTGATAGAAATTGCTTGTCAATTCGAGACAAAGGCAATGGTACCTGGTAATGAAGAGCTGAGAGATTGTGGGTTTTCTACTCTCTGTGCGTGCTCAGGGATGGGGCCACCAGCACAGCATTGCCAAGCTCCCACCTCTCTGTCAAATTGGAGTGTGATAGACTCCAGCAATGAGCTATTTTCGGTTCATGAAAACCAAATTGTAGTTACCCTTAATAACACAATTACAGGATTGCTGGTAAGCAGCCCTAATACTAGGTGAAAATAAAAGTCTAAAGAATTTTGCTTCATTTTTCCATCAGAACTATACAAAGGCCTTTCATGTGAGAATCCATTCCAAACCCATCTGGGGGACCTCACTGCCCACTATGGGTTGGAGGGTGGGCTGGTCAGACTTAAGGAATCCCTGTTCTAAGATTCACCTTCCTCATTTGTGAAATGGAGATCATAATCGTATTACACACATAATAGGGTTGTTGTGAGGCTCGGATGAAATCATGCTTATAGAATGCTTAGCACAGTGACTAGTAAATAGAAAGCAGTCAATACATAATGGCTATTAGTTCCATGATCATTATCACTTGGAGCTTGGAAGGATTGTGCAGAAGCCAGACACCCTCTAAGGACTGACTTATGGCCAGGGACAGGCGAGGCTCAGAGGGGCTTGCAGGGGTGAGGGCTGCCTGGGTGATCTACTATGCCTTGCTGTTCTGTGATGGCTCACTGAGCTGCCCAGAGCCGAGAGGGCAGGGCAGGGCTCTGAGGACAGGCATCCGGCCGGAAGTTGGCTGTTGGAGGAAATGGCTGCTCTGGGGGAGAACCTTCCTGGGGAACAGAGAAGGCAGACAGGGAAGCTAGCTCAGCCTTCACACCCACGTTCCATGGCTACCAGGGTCTGCTTTCTCTTGAATTGCTCATGGCTTGACCAGGGAATAGCTTCTGGGCTCACTTTCTCAGGAAGGGTCTACAGAACTTAATATTTCACTTGTTGTTACCCAGTAAAGACCAACCAAATTTCCCGTGGCCAACTTGGAGAGGGCTGATGGTTTCTTTTCCCCACCTCTCTCCTGCTTACCCCATCGTGTAAGATATACAAAGGCCGGAAGAGACTCCGCTGCCTTGATATAAGAAAGAGGAAGTCAGAGACAAAAGGCCTACCTAAAGACCTACCAAGGTTAAAGTCTGTCTTATTTCAGGAGGGATCTCTTGGGTTGGCAAGAAAAATGATACAGGAGGAGCTCGGAAATTGGCAAAGAGAGTTGACACAAAGGTCTTCCTAGGAGAACTTATGTGAGCTGATGTGTGGAGCTTCAGAAGCAGGCTGAAGCAGGCAGGAGGAACAGTGCGGCCATGAGGCCTCTTCTGCTGGCCTCAGGGTCTGTGAAAGAGGCTGATTCTAGGCCTCTGTGATTCCCCTGCTGGGTCAGGGGACAGGCACAATCAGCTGGGGCTGCATAAAAATATACTGCAAACTGGCGCCTTCACCAACAGAATTTATTTTCTCACAATTCTTTCTGGAAGCTGGAAATCTGAGACCAGCGTGTTAGCATGTCAGCTTCTGTGTCCTCACGTGTTAAGAAAAAAGGGGGAGGGGAGGAGACACAGTCTTAGCCTATTAGGTCTCACTTTTATGACCTCTTTTAGCCTCTTTTAACCTTAATCGTCTCTATCTCTAGATATGGTCATACTGGGGGCCAGGGCTTCATATGGGTAAACACGGTTCAGGCCACAGCAGTGACTAACCCCTGGCTGAGTTGACTCTCCAGGCTCTGGCTGTGTATTCCAGGAAGAATGCAGACCACGGGGGAACTGGAGCATATTAGTTAGGACCTTGGGGTATAGGTAAAGGATGACATCAGACACAAAAATGGCAGAGCAGCACCTAATGTGCAGAGTATGCAGACATCATTTGGATTAAAGATAATGAGGGCTCCTTAATGGTGGAAGGGCCTTAGATACTTACTGATACATCCAACAACATGAACAAATCTCAAAAATTATTGTTCTGAGTGCAAGAAGCCAGGCAAACTGGAGTACATCTGTTATGATTTCATTTATATAAAATCCTAGAAATGCAAACTAATGTACCATGACAGAAAGAAGCTCAGTAGTTGTTCAGAAATGAGGTGGAGGAAGGAATGGATTAAAGGGGTTCTTAGAAAATTTGGGGGGGCATGTAAATATTTACCATTTTGTGGTGATGATTTCACACGTAAACACACATATCAAACTTACCGAAGTTTATACTTTAAATATGTGCAGTTTTTGTACATTCATTGCACCTAAATGAGGTTGTTTTAAAGACATGAATGGTGTGACTCTATGTTGTGTGCAACCAGAGATATGAAAAATTGTACTATATATGTGTAATATGAATCAAAATGCATTCTGATGTCATATATACTTTAATTTTTAGAATAAATCTTAAATAATCAAATGCTGTACATAGCTTAGTCTTCAGCAACTTCTTTTTTTTATAAGCCCATCAATTTAAAAAGTAGTTGTATTTCTTTCCTTTTCATTGCTGTATATATAAAAAGTAATCATTCTACAATTTACATAGACCTCTCCTCTCTGGAGCAGATCTCCCAATAAACACATGCAAGAATGTCTCCAGGTGTACTCCTGGGTGGAATTTCTGGGTTTAGGGTATGCACATACTGAACCTAAGTATGGCAAATTATTTTCAAGGTTGTACCAATTTATAATCCCACCAGCATTGCAAACAGCCCCCATTGCTATAGATCCTCAGTAACTCTTGGTATTGGCAAGCTTCTTATTTGTATCTGTCTAGTGGGAGTAAATGGCAACTCCTTATGGTCTTAATTTGTTTCCCTGATTACTGGTAAGATTGAGCATCTTTCAATATGTTTCTTCTCCATTCATGTTCCCTCCCTGGAGAAATGAATATTCATATCTTATGCCC